TCAATAGCAATAAGACTTAGCGCGTAAGGATTTAAACGAGTACTTCTTCAAAAGTGGGGCGCCCTACCGGCAAAAAGTCTGTCCCCCAAATTGATGCCATTCATTTAACATTACGTTCGGACTCCTTATATCTATACTTCGTGGTGAATAAGATAAAGTAAATTAACCTAACCTACTTACAACCTTTATTTCTGTAGAAAATTTATCTCAATTTCTAAAGATATAATAATATTCTAATTTCCACACAATAGTACAACGCATAAACAACTTAAAAAGGAAATGCCAAAAACCGACAACAAACACATACTTTTAGGTTTGTGTTTAGTATTTGTTACGCCACTGAAATTTATATAAAATGTAATTTTATGTTGTAAGAAACCGTCATTATAGATTTGAAAATACAATGTCATATGAAATTTGAAATAAAGATTAAATAAAATAGAAAATAACTTATAATTTATCTTAGATACACTCCAAAAAATATTGGAATTCATAGGTTTTAACACCGAAACAGGTTGTCTCTGGAAGAAATGAATTATTTAAAATAAAATGACTGCATTGCCTCCCCCACCTCGACCTTTTCAGATCTATTAGGCATTCCAACCGGAGAGTCTAAATGCTGACCATGGAGGTATCAACCTCATTGATGCTGACCAAATGGAAAAACGTTGTTGGCAGTTGTATTAGTCTTCTTCTCGCCTTTTCACGTCTTCTTTTTTATGAGTACATAACGTAACTGACATTCGGTCACTTTTAAAAGTATGGTTAGAGAAGTATGTATGTTTTGAATTTAATTTAGAAGTCGTAAAGTAAATGTAAACAATGAATTTTGCTTGGTATTTATTTCTAATGCAACACAGATGGAAATGTTTAAATAGTTTGAAACTTAGTTCATCTAGAAGATATCACAATTATGAACTCAAAATTTAAATTCAGGATTCTTCGATATACATAAAACTGACATTTATATTTACAAACTGTCCACTACTGTCCACGTCTACTGTCTGTCTCAGTGTTGCCAACCTTACGATTTAAATCGTATTTATACGTTTTTTTAACTTTCTGTACGATGTACGATTGCATCAGTGAGATCGTACGTAAAAACACGATCTTCACTTTTTTAGTATTTTTTTTTTTTTATTTAAAATTTATGGCCTTGGCATTGCCAATTGGCCAGACAAAAGTAGGTTTATTTAAATATCTGCAACAACTTTGTAATTTCTGAAGGCAGTCATTTTCGTTCTCACTTATCGTGATTTTGACCATGGTGATTTTGTACCAACACGGACTATCACGGCATAAGAAAAGCTTGCATGCAAAATTTCAATCACTTTCACGTGACAGTCATTGATTCCTTTAAATGTCTTAAAGTTTTGTATATTTTCTTTAGCTTTTTTTCGTTGTAAATATTTTTATAAATAGATAAATAAATTATAATGCCGATTTTTTTTTGTTTGTTCATTCTATTTAAGTCATATTATGCTATACATGTACTTATTGTACGATTTTTTTTTTTTTTTTCGAAATACTATACTTGTACGATCTCAGAAAAATATTTGGCAACATTGGTCTGTCTATAAACGACCATGGGCAATCAAAGTATGTGACCATGGGTCTGTTGTCATTGAAAGGGCCAATGATACATAGATAGATTGCTCAAAGCGGGTCGTTTGCAAGTGGCCATATTGCCTGGCAAGTGTTTATTAATTTGAATCGATGTACCATAAATGTATTTTACAATCAATTTCTAGCCTTTGAATATATTTAAAAAATTATTTACTTACATTTTTACTTCAAGACACAAGCTTAATGTTTATTTTTCAAAAGATGGATGCTCAATCATTTAGCTATCTAGATCATTGACTCTATCAAACCACCAGAGCCACAGTGTTGCCATACTATAACCTATCTTGTTCCTGTAATTTCAAACGGGCAGCCATTTTGTTTGGAATGCCTAATTTTAAAAATAACTATACCGGGTGTCCCAGATTTTTTTGCCCAGCGGATATCTCGGTTATTTAATGATATAAAATTGTAAAAAAAAATATGAATAATATTTGTCTAGTAGCCTTTTAAATTCCACTACATAAAGTTATATTCATCAATCCACCCCATAGGAACAACCCCTAACTTTTTTTTTTCAAATGTCACCCCTATATTTTTTTTCGCTGATATAAATACTCAATTTGTCCCGAATACAACGATATGATTTTTGATATACTTTACAGAGTCATAAAGCCGGTAAAGACTAAAAACCAATGTTGTGGTTAAAGTCATTAATAATTAGTTTACATTTTATCATTTTATTATATTAAAAAATAACAAATCCAATGAATAGGTAAACCTCTTAATATGTTTTTTAAATAATTGAATATTTACAAAAATTGTTCGAAATGGCCCCCATTACTTGCCAAACATGCTTCAAAACGTCGAATGAGTTCACGAGTACATGACGCTGTAATCATTTCTGGTGTAATGTTATTGCAGGCTTGTACTATTTTATTTTGCAAATCTTCTAAATTCAATGGCTGTGTTTCAAATACCACGGTCTTCAGATATCCCCATAAAAAAAAAATCTAGAGGCGATAAATCTGGTGAACGCGCAGGCCACCTCAAAGGGCCGCTGTTTCCGATCCACTGATTTTCAAAGCGTTCGTTTAAAAATTGAGTAACTAAATTACTATTATGTGGAGGAGCTCCATCTTGTTGCCACCACATAGCACCTCTTTCTTGTATTGGAATTTCTTCAAGAAGTTCTGGAAGGTCATTTTCAAGAAAGTGTAAGTACCTAGCACCAGTTAACGTACCTTGAAAAAAATAGGGACCTATCAGTCGTCCCTGAAATAATCCACACCACACATTTACTCCCCAGATGGTCTGAAAGTTAGTTTCCCTAACCCAGTGAGGGTTTTCAGGAGACCAATAATGCATATTGTGACGATTTACAGTAGCATTATTGTGAAACCTTGATTCGTCACTCCACAATATCTGGTTCAAAATGTTGGGATTTCGTTCCATTAAATCTTCAAAATGTGCTATTAATGTTATCCTTCTTTCGAAATCTCCAGCTCTAAGTTCCTGATGCAAATGAATTTTAAACGGATGAAAATTATAGGATTTTAGGATTCTTTGTACTGACGACTTACTAATATGAACCTCGTTAGCTAGGTTTCGCGTCGATATCTGGGGATGTACTTGCACATAAGCTAATACATTAATGCACATTTCTTCAGTTCTTACAGCAGCAGCATGTTGACGATGTTTGTCTTTTCCTGGAAATGACCCTTCTCTCATCCTAGTCTCAACATAAGAATATGTTTTACGTGATGGTTGTCGGCGCTCAGGAAACCTCTGTTGATACAAGTATACAGCAGCACGAGAATTTTTTTGGCACTCACCAAAAATTAAAAGCATATCAACATATTCGTTTGGAGTGAATGTAAAGGGCATTTTGTCTGTTGTTTATAGCTAGCGAACAATTTCAGAAATGGTCTAAGCATATCGTTAGTTAGTTATAGGTAACAAAAAAAAAAACAAAAACGAAGCAATTCTAATCAAAATAAAAAGAAAATACCAGGTGATACAAAATTAATGACTTTAACCACAACATTGGTTTTTAGTCTTTACCGGCTTTATGACTCTGTAAAGTATATCAAATATCATATCGTTGCATTCGGGACAAATTGAGTATTTATATCAGCGAAAAAAAATATAGGGGTGACATTTGAAAAAAAAAAGTTAGGGGTTGTTCCTATGGGGTGGATTGATGAATATAACTTTATGTAGTGGAATTTAAAAGGCTACTAGACAAATATTATTCATATTTTTTTTTACAATTTTATATCATTAAATAACCGAGATATCCGCTGGGCAAAAAAATCTGGGACACCCGGTATAACCCAGCTTCATCTTCTTTCTCTTCTTACAAATGATAAAGTCTTCATTAAGTCTTGCCTTCTTATCACGTAACCCATTTTGTAATCTTTTATGTAATATTTATAATCTGTTTTAAAAACATTTTCAATAAAATATTTAACTAAAACATTTCAGAAATATTTCAGAAACTTATATTGGAAATATTTCTGTATGGGAAAGGATGACACATCATTTAAAACAGTAATATTATTGGAAATTGAATACTATGACTATTTTTTGACATTCATGGGTAGTAGGTGTTCTTTTAATTTTCAAATAAAACTACATTTTTGTGCATTCTTCAGTACTACTTTTATTATTGTACGTAAAAATTAGTTTTTTAAAGTAATGAATACCAACAAAATTAATATAAATAATAAAGGTTATTTAAATGAACCGCGATTACTCTTCATTTCTATTTTCTTCTTTTCAGCCTCTAACTGTCAAGACAATCAGCCATTGTGTAGTTCAAAAAAATCCAAACCATACTAGTTCGCAGCACTATAGGTGAGTTCTTACTCTAGTCACTACTAAAGTATCAAAGAGCTTTCGGGAACGGAAGGAGTTAAAATATTTTTTTTTGTCCGTTCAGACATCGTAGAGTGGAGTGTGGATGGGCATGAGCATATGGTGATTTAAATCGGTAAGAAGATAATTTTGATTTATTCTTAAATAAAACGGCTTTGATTTTGTTCCTGTGAATACCATTAATAAGGGCGAAACTTATACGGTTGTTACTAATAAGTACGATTAGGTTTTAGGTACCGGTATGTCACATTGACAATTGACACTGAACTCTGCGAGTAAAAGGAGTAAAACCAGATGGACACTCCGTTTACACCTATTTCACTCCACTTCACTCTGGAGTGCGCAACCCGAACTCACCTTTGTTTCCAAAAATTTACCTTTTTTATCTAACCTAAAACTTCTGTCCCTTTCTCTCCATTTCTGTCTCTCTGAATTAGGTTCAAACAAATCTTTTAAACATATTCTATTCATATTTTATTCTTAACCGTGTTAATAATACTTTATTATTGAAATATATTTAGTACAATAATTTTTGGTTGGTGTTGAGAAATTGAAGTTTTTAATTTTTTAATAATTTATTTAAAAAGTTGTATTTTAAATTAACAAATCATTATATATACATATCTTATGATTATCAGTATAAACATTTATAGCTATTGTCACCGATCACACATGGGCAAGTTAACTGTGAAGAAAACATTTAATTCCACAAGAGTGGCTAAAATTATGAACACCAAATAAGTTAACAAACAAGACAATCCCACTTTCCAGTCTAATCTGAAACAAAAACAAACAATCAGTAATTACAATGTAATAGCCGATTTTATAAATACAGAATGGAAATTTTTCAAAAGTTAGTTTATATCAAAATATCTTTAAAGAGCATATTGGTCAACAAATTTGAAAAAGAAAATATTTAAAGGCGTTTTTGAATAATGTAAATATTTTAATTTGATTTAAAACTTGTATCACCCTGTATCTCGATAATTAGGTATGACTTTTAAGGGGTTAATGTTTCTATATCAAAATTAATCAATAAACGAGAGCTTTCTGGTGTAGAACGTTGTTGATCTTATATAAGAATACCCTGTATACACAAACACATTTTTATTGTTAGTTAAAAAAGTGGTACTTAAAAGTATAATTGGTATACAAAGGATTAACGTATGTTTTACTCTAAAACACCCTGTACACTGTTGATACAACTAGTACGAACACAGGTGTTTCAATTTTAAAAATGGCAATATCTCCTCATCAAAATAAAATTATTTAAAACATTTTCTAGGAAGGTAAGGGAAAGCTGAAATGACATAACACACGCCCTTCCAACCCCAACTGAAGAAAAAACATTGAAAAAACAATGAAACTGGAACAAAAAACCGTAAATAGCTCTAAAGACTTCAATATAACCTTTAACTTTAGTGTCTATTAAATTGATACTTACCGATATTTATTTAAAGCAATGCTCAAATAAAACAAAACTAACGTAGTCAGCAATGCACATGCGCTGATATTTATGCCTCCTGACTGAATATCAACCCAATGATTTCCGGGAACCTTGGGATAAAACGCAGCCTTAACCATCCATGGTATTCCCAAACATAAAAGTATATCGAACGTATTCGAGCCAATTGAACTGCTCAAACCCATAGTGGCATGACCTTGAAAAACAAAAAATATATTATAACTTTTGTAATAATTTTTTGTGACAAACGGTGTTAAATGCCTTTGAAAGGTCTAATAATACCCATAATAAAGAATTTTATATTTTTGATGTTAATTCGTATATGGCATCTAGCGTCGATTTCTTTTCTCGAAATTCAAATTGATTTTCGGACAGGATTTTAAATTTATCCATGAACTTTTTCAAGCTAGCAACACTAGATATTAATGAAATTAGGTGAAAATTCTCGATCTTTTCAAATATCGATTTTATTTGTCCTAATTTAAAAATTATTGGAAATAATCATGTTTCAAATGTCAATGAAGTAATTATTACATTATAAATATTATCAACACCTGTCGATTTATGTGATTTTAAAGATTTTAATAAATTTGTAGCTTTTTCATTAGCTGAATGTAGAAAAATACAGTTTTATGTCATTCAATGTAGTGTGTTGGCTTTTAAATTCAAAAGGCTTGACGTAAACCACTGTTTATTTTAATGAATATTCTTCTAAAAGTTTTCTCAAACATTCGTATCATTAGTTGAATATAACTCCGTAATGGTTAGTAAAAATAAATGATCCTATTTGTTCATGTTCCAGTGGATTGGTTTTAACAAAAAATTATACTATTTTAACATTTTTTTCCAAAACCCGAGGAGAATAAAAGACAAAATGGAGTAGACCTAATAAAAAAATGCTTCTTTAAAAGAAAAAACGAGGAAAAAGAAATTTGCAGAACGAAAATCAAATATCCGGTTAATTTTGCAGTTGAATATATTTCTTTGTCCACGACCACTTAATAATAAATCAATATTCTACCTCCTGACTAAAAGCATATGGTACCCATATATCACTAAAGTGAATTATGATAATTCACGCTTTTGTAATTCTGGAAATTTCCGGTAGATAACTAAAGATGGGCGATACTTTTCATAACGATATTTTCTAGATCGAAAAATCAGAAATTCGAAAAATGGAAAATCGGAAAAATGAAAAGTAGAAAAATCAAAAAATCGAAAAATCGAAAAATCGAAAAATCGAAAAATCGAAAAATCGAAAAATCGAAAAATCGAAAAATCGAAAAATCGAAAAATCGAAAAATCGAAAAATCGAAAAATCGAAAAATCGAAAAATCGAAAAATCGAAAAATCGAAAAATCGAAAAATCGAAAAATCGAAAAATCGAAAAATCGAAAAATCGAAAAATCGAAAAATCGAAAAATCGAAAAATCGAAAAATCGAAAAATCGAAAAATCGAAAAATCGAAAAATCGAAAAATCGAAAAATCGAAAAATCGAAAAATCGAAAAATCGAAAAATCGAAAAATCGAAAAATCGAAAAATCGAAAAATCGAAAAATCGAAAAATCGAAAAATCGAAAAATCGAAAAATCGAAAAATCGAAAAATCGAAAAATCGAAAAATCGAAAAATCGAAAAATCGAAAAATCGAAAAATCGAAAAATCGAAAAATCGAAAAATCGAAAAATCGAAAAATCGAATAATCGAAAAATCGAAAAGTTGAAAAAACAACAGTTAGATACCTACATTTAATAAAAACTTTACATTCTACACTTAACTTTTATTTAATAAAGAATCCATAATGGTCGTGGTCAAAGTATAGCATTAGACTCGCAATTTGTGACCATTATTCACTCGGGTGACTTGCGCCCCTCGCCTACGGCTCGAGACGCAAACGTCACCCAGCGTGAATAATGACTACCATAAATTGCTCGTTTAATAATATACTATTGTCATTTGATAGCTTACGAAAAAAAATCAGTAAAATAAGTTACCTTGTTTTGTTACTATAACACTAGATACAGCTTCAGGTACACTTGTTCCAGCAGCTAAAAACGTTAACCCCATGACTGAATCTGGTATATTTAAAGTATCACCTAAAAATAAAAAAAAAGTAAAGTAGAATTTTAATTTAGATATTATTATGAAATTAACTGCTTTAAAAACGTAACTCACCTATTATTGTTATTATCCAGGAAACAAAGTACGATGTTGTTCCTATCCAGAAAATACACATAATAAACGTGAACACAAACAATTTGGGATATTTTTTACAGTCAGGAGTTGTTAAGTAGAGAATTAATGAAATAGGCCAAGTAAATATCCACCAAAGTTTCGATTTAGTGGTTGCTTCTGTAGGCCATCTCCAAATTTTTGTTGATTCTTCTGAAAAATTGAAAACATTGAAAAATTTAAAATTAGTCGATACGACGAGTCAAATAAACTAACCGAACTTTTGGCAATCTTCCAAAGTAACTTCAACATCAAATATTTCTTCAATTCCATGATATTTGCCATTTTTCTGAAACAACAAAGGGTACGTTTCCCCCAAAACTTCTACATAGTATCTCCGCCGTCTAAATTTAGCAACAATTTTATGAGCTAATCTACTTAATTTGCTATTGAAGCACATTACTGTAAATACAAAAATACATTAACTAAATCTGAACTTAATATGTTTCACAAATACATAAAGATTGCCGAAACGTTTACGTCTTCATCCATAGTTCTACAGCGACTCATTCAGATCTATTGTAAAACACTATTATATACAATATGTTAGATAGAAACTTCGACTCTGTTTGGATGAAGGCTAAACAAAACGAACCAAGTAAAATATCTGGGTCTAATCCTAGATAGCAAACTTAGTTGGAACCAACACTTACAAAAAGCGAGCAACAAATTTAAAATGTCTCTCATTGAAGGGAGACAGGCATTTGAAAAAACATGGGGATTAAAACCAAAAATGGTCCATTGGCTATATTTGGCAATGACAAGACCCATGATAACTTATGGAGCGGTTGTTTGGTGGCCAAAAATAAACCAGAAAACAGCCCTCAATACCCTCTCAGGAGTTCAGAGGTTGGTATGCCTTTGTATTACAGGAGCACTGAGAAGTACACTGACAGCTTCTATGAAAATTACTCTGAACCTCCCACCCCTTGACCTAGTCATAAAAGAGAAGGCCAGAATGAGTGCATACAGACTGGAATCTCCAACTGGAACTCACTGGGACATATAAAATATACCAGAATAACACTTGAAGTAAATGATTCTATATTAAACATGGGATCAGATCACATGACACCCCTCCTAACCTTCAACAGACTTTTCCAGGTCAACTGTAACTGGAACGAGGTAAATAAGGAGATAGATAAATATTTGCTTAGCGGTCTCGTATGGTATACTACGGATGGATCTAAAACTAACAAGGGAACAGGCTCTGGCATACATGGAGTTAAACCCAAATGCGACATCGTCGTCTCACTGGGAAAACATATCACTGTATTTCAGGCTGAAATACATGCAATCGAATTGTATGTACAAGAGAATTTAAGAAGGAAGTACAAAAAACAAACCATCCCAATTCTCTCAGGTAGCCAAGCAGCCTGAAAGGCTCTTGATTCAAACAGAATCAAGTCAAAAGTTGTCTGGAACTGCCTAGGAATACTAAATGATCTGGCAACCTAAAACAAGGTAAAACTAGCGTGGGTACCAGGGCACAAAGGTATGCAAGGAAATGAAAAGGCTAATGAACTCGCCAAAGAGGGATCAGATCTACCATTCACAGGACCTGAACCTGTATTTAGTATAAGCAAAACCTCTGCTCAGGCAGTGAACAGGTGGATAACCACAAAACACCAAATTCACTGGCAACAGATAAGAGGGCACAGAATCAGTAAGCTCGTGCTAAGGGGACAAAACCCACGCGTGACTACTGAGGCACTACAACTTGCAAGGCTTCAGATATCCACCATTGTGGGATTACTAACGGGGCGCTGCTTGCTGAAACACCTTCATGTGATGGGATTACACAATGATCCCACTACGTGTAGACTCTGCATGGAAGAGGAAGAAACCTAATATCATGTGATCTTCGAATGCGAAGCTCTTACTAGGCGACGTTTCATCCTTTTCGGTCTAGAACCGGAAAGAACGCCCCAGGAACACTTGGTAGGGAACTTATTAAAACTAACCAAAGACAGGACTATTCCAAAGATAGTACCTGAATACGGGGAAAGCAGGGGAATAAAATAGACCCAAGAGGCCGCAGTGTTCTGGGCCAAATTTAACCCTACCTGCTTACAACCGACAAAAATGAAAATAAAGATATAAAAGACAATATGTTAACCAACTCAACCAGTAGGATAAAGATGAGACGCTTAATTATTTTAGATGCATGGTCATTTCTACCAGTAGTGATATAGCAAGTATGCTCTATGTATGTCTATTCAATAGGTGTGTCAATAGTATTGGTTTTCTATACTAGTCTCTGGAGTTATATTTGGAAAGTTAACATATTATGTCGCACTAAGGCCTCACTAAGCCCATTGTGCATCCTCCTAAATTGATAAGCCCCTCTTAACTCGTCAGCCATGAATTGATATTTCCCGTTTCTGGTTTTTTTTTTCGCACAACTCGTAAAGTGTTGCTTCTTCTACTTGATTAATAACACCTATGTGCCTTCGCAGGTTACAGTTTCCTGTAAGCACATTTCTTCCTGTCCAAACGATTTGTCGATTTTGTTCTAATAGATCTCTCGTGAATTTGGTCAATGATTTTGTAATGAACTATTTTTTGACCTCTCTCTTCCTAGATGGTTGTTTCACCATTCTAGAGACTTCTTGCATTAATTGGTAATAAAACAAATCAATAATGGATCTCATTTTTTTAGCAACATTATTACTGGTTAGTTTGTTTTGCAATTAAAAATGAAATAATTTTTCATTAAAGAACTTATACTTACATAAAATATATAAAGAATAAATTAATATCAAAGCTATCGATTCGCTGAGGTAAATTTTTCCGTCTTGTAGTACTACTATAAGAGCAATTACTGAAACACTGTACATCAAACTATCACGACTTACAGAATACCATTCTATTTCCATAACCTAAAATAAACAATTCAATAAATTTTACATATCACAATGAACTACAAAGAGGTAGGATGGAAAGCGGCGCTACCCCATGAAGGGTGTTAAGCCACATGCATAAATATAATGAGAAGAATTCGGAAGGGAAGATGTCAAAATGTTGTAGTTTTAAGGTGTGTACCTAGTTGGATCTTGACAGCACCAGGAAGTACAATGAATTGCAAGAATGTCTGTTTTCGTAGATCCGGCTCGCTAGAAAATATTGGTTTGGTAATCTAAATGCACAGTGCTGTCGTCTGCAAAGCTAAGCTCAAAATTAGGATAAATGTGGCTGAAAGTGTATCGTTTATTGGAATAATGTTGGAAGTAATACTGAACTTTCAGGTCATGAATGGAGTTGATCTATACTGATCAATATTGATGATACCCAATTTTGTTGTGAAGATATTTAAATTAAAAAGGATTCAAGAAATAAATGAATTCAAATAATGAGGATTATTCAATTCCTCAAATGTGGTCTTTTTCGAATTTGTATCATACACTCCTGAATGAATTATTGACATTTTCTTATTTAGATAAACAATAACACAGGTATACAAAAAAAAAATTGTTTGGTGCCACTAATTCTATGTTATAATTTGGTTAATTAGCCCGCAAGATGTCGTGCGAAGCTGTCAAAATCTTGAAGTTATATTCAGGTTTGTATCGATCGATAATGAATTTTTTATTTAATTTAATTATTTAAAATTAATTCTGATGCCTTGGTCGGATTCCCCACTCGACCATTCACTGTAGGATTCTAAAGTGGCGCTGAGAAAAAGTAACAAAGCCTACACATAACACGAGGCTAATGGCCTTAGTAGTCGATGCCGATGACACCAAATTAAAAAAAAAATGTATTTTATCGTACTTAATGTCATTATAATCAATTAATTTCTTTTTTTAGTTAATAATATCGATATGCCATCGAGAAGGTGTGTAAATAATCCAAATACATTTTGTTTCATTTGTGGTGAATAATAATAGATTTAGTGAAGAAGACATACGTTGATTACTTTAATTTAGAGATGAAGGCTTTGAATAAACGGTGAGTTCCAAACATTGTGTGCAAGTTGTGTAGTGAACATTTAAGACAGTGGGCAAATGGTAAACGTAATCAATTAAAGTATAGTGTGCCAATGATTTGGCACCGAAAAATCACATTGATGACTGTTATTTTTGTGTTGTAGAATTACATGGTATAAACAAAAGAAAAATGATATATCCTGATTTTCCGTCTGCTAAAAGACTTCGGGTGTGTTCAGATGACGTACCATCTCCCATGTGTCAAGATCTTTCAAATCTATCAAATTTGTCGGATGTAGAGATGGTAGAAGTTTTTCTGATGAACGAGATAGTGATTTTGAAGTGTTAACTGCGCCTTCACTTTTTCTCAAGATACTTTAAGTAATTTGATTAGAGACCTTAACCTTTTGAAAGAGCGATCTGAGCTACTAGCATCTAGACTCAAAGAAAGAAATTTGTTATCTCAAGGTACAAAAATAACATTTTATCGTGATCGCAAAAAAGAATTTCTTCCATGTTTTAGCTCAGAAAATGATATAGTTTATTGTAATAACATTGGTGGTCTTCTAATGAAACTGGGGCACTCAAGGTACAAAGCTAAAAAATGAAGGTTGTTTATGAACAGCTCTAAGCGAAGTTTAAAATTTGTTTCACTAGATATTGGTAATAAACATACAACATTCAATGAAATTAAAAGAGGAGTATCAAAACGTGGGTCTTGTTTTAAAATAAAATTAAGTACTCGGAGCACCAATGGGTTATATGTGTCGATTTAAAAATGATTAACTTTCTGGAAGTGGGTACACTAAATTTCTATGCTTCATATGTTTATGGGACAGCAGAGCAAAAAAAGACCAATGTATCAAAAAAGATTGGCCTTTGCAAACAAAATATTATAAACCCGCCTTTAGTTTCTAGAGATAAGATTATTTATGAAGCAATATGTTAAGGCTGGTTCGTGTTTTGTATATCTTTTAAGAAAATTTCCCGGTTTAAACAATGAAAAACTAAAAGCTGATATTTTTGATGACTCACAGATAAGACTTTTAATGAATGACAACGATTTCATACATTCAATGAATAATTTAGAAGCTTGGAAATCTTTTGTTGCTGTTGTAAACATTTTTTTAGGAAATCAGAAGGCTGAAAATTACAAAGAATTAGTTCAAAACCTCTTAATTTGCTTTCTTGGATGTAATATGAGCATAAAAGTAAACTATCTGGACAATGATTTAGACAAGTTTACTGAAAATCTTGGTGCATATAGCGAAGAATATGGAGAACGTTTCCATCAAGATTTACAGGTGATGGAAGATAGATACCAAGGTCGCTGGGAGGAGCACATGATGGCAGATTACTGTTGGAGTATTACACAGGAATATCCTGAAGACATTCATCGGAAAAAATCTAACAAGAGAAGCTTCTAACCAGTAAAATAATGTGTAATTAAATGTTATTTTGTTTTTTAATAAATTAATTAAACGCTTTTTAATTTATTTACCCTTGCGAAGTCTCAAAAACTACACGTACCATTAAAAAAGTTTTTAACACGGTACCGAATGTACTTGAAATCAGTTTTACTTTTAGCGGCACCAAAATCATTGTAGACCTGTAAAATTATTGTTAATAACATTTAATTATGTGTACGAGTACTTTTTGATAAATACTGAGAAACTTATTTAGTTTTAAATGGAATCGTAAAATCAGTCTGTACCATCAATTTAGTATGAGAATGACGAACTGTCTGTTGTTGACATTTAATTAACTTTTAACAATATCCCCCCATCTTATAAAGGGCGCGTTATACTGCCTGCTGATTTCTCCAATAAGGTATGTCAAACATAAAGTGATTTGTTGTTTAAGACGGCCAATTCAGTGTAGAAATTAATGCATAGTGTCTAACATACGATCCGTTTTTAAAGTTTTTCATGGTTTCAAATTAATTAATTATTAATTACTATGTTAAGAAACAAAATGAAACACTTAGCTTATTATATTTACTATTATTTAAAAAAGAAAACTTTAATTTTGTGCTCTGTTTGATCCTTAATACTTTATAAAGCAGTTTTTTATTTTGTTTATAAAATAAACTTTCAGATCTTCTTAGTTATAATCACTTTAATATGCACATTACGGTAGGTCTTTGTTAACTTGTTAGTGACTTATAAAGACGGTTGTTCTGGTTAAGGAACTTTGAGGAAGAAAAAGTTTTCTTTTAATAAAACTCTTTTCGCAATTGTCTATTTTCATTATCAAGACATTATCTTCTTGCACCTTTGTGAATTTTGTTATAAACTTAAAGTTTTAACAGAAAATAAAATACCTGATATTTTTTAAACAAAAATAACTGTTGAACTTTTTAATATTTTGTTCTGTTGTAGATTTTATATTGAATAATACAATCTGACAGTTTTGAATTCTTTCACCTTCGTGAATTTTGTTATAAACCTAAAGTGTTAACAGAAAAGGAAATAATGTATTTTTTTAAATAATTGTTGTACGCTTTATTATTTTGTTTTGTTGTTTTTAAACAAAAATAACTGCTGTACTCTTTAATATTTTGTTCTGTTGTGGACTTTATATTGAATTTTAGGATAATAATTGAAATAAACATTTCTAAACCTCTACATCTAAGTTTTACTAAATGTTATAGCACTTTTTGACTGCATTTCTCAAAAAAATATTTTATTTCTAGATACAGGTCGTATACATATACAGGGCCTTCAACAGTACTTGTATCCCACTTGATTTGGTATCACCACAATATGTAGAAAGTCCCTTTATAGTAACTTTTACGACAACTGTCAAATACGTCACTGGAAAATTTAGTGGCGCACCAAGGAAATCTTTAATCTGAACTTTAGTATATACGTATAGTACTTTTTGCTGACACTTACCATATTGGCAAAAAGGCCACAACAAGCAGGTACAGCTAAAACATTAAATACTGCAGATCCAACAACAGCTCCCACACCCAAATCTCCTTCGGTTACAAAAGTACCAACACTGTTAATAAATAATTCCGGACTAGAACTAGCCATAGCCATAACTGTTGCTCCAGCTATGTCTTCTTTCATTTTTAAATCTGTGGAAATAAAAAAAAATTGTAATAAAAAAGTTAATTGAATACAAAAACAAACATTTTTTATTTATTAGTAGAGATTTTCAAATGAGAACCAATATTTTGTCAACTAAAATTCCATAATTTTGAAAACAATTTTAATAAAGTTTAAATTGTATTTCCAAAAAACTATTCTATTATTTTTATCAACTATTTAGAAAGTGCCAAAGACTTTTTTTTTGGTAAAACGTTGTTCTTACTTTACCTAAACAAAATTGAAATTATTTTTAAACATGTTCCGTTGGAAATTTTATAAAGTGCTTAATAATAATAAAAAAAATTTAATATTAGACCTTCTAATTAGATTAAACTGAACAAATTAACTAACATTTAGAATATATGTTAAATAATGTACCTGTAGACTTTTTAAATAGTCAGTATGTTAATCTAAATGTTTTTATTGTTCTTGGAAGGAGTACTATGATGAAATGGTGATAAGTCAATAATATAAATAAGACAGGAATTACAGTGACCCCAAGGCCATTACTTCGGATATAAATCGGATAAAAATACTTACTATCACAGAACTTTTTGACTGCTGGGACAAAATAGTCATCACATACTGTCGCCAACATTACAAATAAATAACATGCCAATAATGCATGTAAAATAATAAAACCATCTTGGCGCTGATCTCTTGTGAACCCATCTGGTGGAAATTCGTTGATAGCTGCCGCAGTACAATTTTTCGTAACATTGGTATTTGTACTATTTTCTACAGCTAGAAGGTGTCGACCAAAAGAATTATCTGAAAAAAAAAATATATATATATTTTATTAAATACAATAAATATTTTCGCTCTAGTTTTAAAAGTAAGGGTTCTCGAGCCAAATTAATATTTATAATAACCTCATATTTGGTACAAGTTTTATAATATTTATGAAGTTTGTACTGAGCTTTATATCACATTAACAATACATTTTTTGAGAAATCAACTCTAAAAAAGATCTGTAAGTTTAAGATGCAGATGTTTTTCTACCCGCTATATACAAAATATAATTTACGATATACGGAAAAGTTTCATTTCTTATTGACTTCACTAAATAACTGCACTAATGGTCTTACTAGCACTCGTATGCTCAAATGATGCTTTTTCACTCGCAAATACGCCTGACCGATAGGTATTGTGACGCGGAGCCGTCTCTGTACTTTGCCCGCTGTATGAAGTCTAGCGATGGCTATGGCCATCTATATGTAGAGACAAACGCACCGCTTCTCGAAACTACCAGAAAAAGCGGTACGTGGCCGTTGAGTCATAGAGATGGAATTCTCGGACATTCGAGATCGTCTAGAAACTACTGGTACAGAGCTAGCTTTATATAAATAGCGTGAATTGTCGACGGACGGGCCGTTTCAATTTAAGTGTTGGACAAAAAAGACAAATTGTAATAAATAAATGAGTTATAATAGTAGTATAAAAGTAAATTATAAATAAAGTGTTTTAAATAAATAAGCTATAAATAAATTAAAACAAACGTTACAATACATAACCTTAACAAAAATGATTATTTAAAAAATTCTGAAGCCAACATGGGTTCACATTCAAAGCGTAAAAATGTAATATTCTGATTGTATATTAATGAAAATTTTACGGTGTTCTTATCATTACATACTAATGCAATTTATTATCTAGCAACGCTGTAAGTACTTTAAATTATCTGAAGAAAGTGTATGTCTGACAACAGTGCAATTACAAGCAACGACATTTGTAAAAGAGTTTTAAAACTGCTTCATTCATAATTTAGCTTCGAGAATTAGGCAGTCCAAATCATGTGACTTTAAATGGTGGACGTTTAGCAAAAACAACAAAGTACGTGCTTCCCTTGACGAAAACCCTTCTAGTGAGGTTATTGGTCTAAGTTTGTGTATTATTCTGGTCTAGTTAAAAAATGGCATAAATTTATATTTAATAAGAATATTCGAATTATAATAACACTCAAATACTAATGAAAAAGTTAGGTCAACCAACTTTGTTGTTTTTGTCCATGATTCGTTAACAACACGGTGGCCTCTTCCGTCCGTTGCTAAGTAAGATTAATATTTAGTGGTGTTTATATTTTTCATGTAATGATTATCATCAAATTTCATATGAATTACTTTTTATTTAAATTATAAAAATAAATATTAATGTGAGAATGGTTTATTTTAAACATTTTGACATAGGGTATGGCCTCCTAGCTGAATTTGGATCACACTTTGTTTAAATCCCGAAATATTTTGAAATGTTGGCAAGCCTGAAGCGAGCTGTAATGTTGCCGTTGCAAACAATTTTTACTTTCCTATCTGTATACAGATAAGGAAAGTATAGAAATCATGATTTTTGGGTGTGTGTGTTCCGGCCTCCAGTGAACTGATTAGTCAGAACATCTGGGGGGGTACTTTATGGATGGTAATTTTAATATTTTATGAAATATATCTGTTATTTACGTTTGGAGAAGAAAATTTTTTAAATAAAAGTTACTTACAATATTATTATCTACAATTTTTGTTTATACTAAATTTTCCTAAAATAGTCCGCATTCGAGAAATTTGAAAAAATGTAAAAAAAATTAATTTTTTATAAAAATTGTTTGCAATATAATTCTCTATAATTTTTATTCTATACATAATTTCTCTAAAATGCACTTTATTCAAATATTTGAGAAAATGTGTAAATTTTGAATTTTGAAGAATAATCAAAAACGGATAATGGAAAAAACATTAAATTTTAAACTTAAGTTTTATTTCGGCCTGAGGTGAATTGATTAGATTTTGGACAAAGTCGGACCATCTGGGGGTACTTTATAGAAGGTCTCTTTTATATTTTATGGAATATGTCTGTTATTTATGTTTGGAGAAGAAAATTGTTCAAATAATAGTTACTTCTAATAATATTATCTTTAATTTTTGCTTTATACCAAATTTTCCTGAAATGGTCCGTATTCGAGAATTTTGACAACATGTGCAAAATTCTAATTTTTAAGAAAATTGTTGAACTGAAAGTTGTTTGCGATATCGATCTCTATATTTTTTTGTTTTTTACATGATTTTTCCAAAATGGACCGTAATGATAAAATTGAAGGAAAAGTGCTTAATTTAAATTTTTCAGAATTTTCGTTTTCAATGAATATCTATAGAAAAATGTTTAGAGTTAGATGTATGTGGAAAATGTATATATTTAGTTTATCCTCTAAACATTTATAGAGGTGCTGCAATAGGTTGTACAAGATAACCGGAAAAAGCCTATAATAACTAGATAGGAATGTCATGTGTTGGATACATCAGATTTTTACATACAAAAATCAAGAAGAAATAAAGGGACTGAGCCAAACTAAAATTAAAGGCTAATGGTAAGATTTTAGATAATTATTCTGCAAATATCATTCACTACTATTATTCTATTATTAAATTAATTACAGCTTTGTCCACCCGACATTTAAAAGTAGACGGTATGATTTCTTAAGTTTTTTACAAGCATTAAATACAACCTAGAGCAAGAAAAGTCAAAGGGCTTTACTAAAAGAACCTACACTATTGAAAAAATGGTTTGCTACACGAAGTTTTAAGTAAAGAGTACATAGTTACAAATCATTTTAAAGAAGAAAACAAGGGCATTTTGGAGTTGAAAAGAAATTTTTAAAGCATTCACGATAAGATATTTGAGTAGAAGGTGCTATCTTTATCATAAAAATACTTTAAAGTATTCCTTGCAGAGGATTTCAACTTTACAGAAGAGTGCTAATAAAATAAATCTAAGACATGAATGATTTATTTAAATACTCCAAGTATATGTTATGTTAAATTTCCTTTGTGTATTCTATGTATATAAACAATAGATAAAACTGTTTTTCTCTAATTGGGTACCTATATTATTTATAGATTATTATAATAAAACTGGTTTGTTGCTGTTTTATTGTTTTTTTAAGTAAAATACATCTAATAACTATAAACTAAAAAAATATATTTTTTATTTCCGATATAAATATACATTGTATGTATATTATGGATATACTTTCTTGTGATAATACTCTCCTTTCTTGTTAATACTCTACTTTCTTGTGATAATACTCTTTAAACCTGCCCTTTTAAGTATTTCCCTTAATTTATTGTTATTTTACCCCTCGTTTTACCCGCATTTATTATAAATTATTTCTGTTTTGAGATCATGTACTTTATTTTAAAAAATTACTTGATGTTATACAAGGTGGCGCAAAATAAAGTCCCCTATTTGTTTATTATATAAAAGTAAGGTTAATTAAAAAACAGTCATACCTATTATAAATGAAAAATATTTATTAAAACTCTAAAAATTTGTTTTGTTACATACTAAAAACAATATCGACCAAATTGCTACCTCCAGCATTAATGCAATAATGAGCTCTTTTAAAAGCAATTTTCATAACTTTCTCCAACATTTTTGTCAATTTCTTCCCGGATGTGGTCTTTTAATGCTTCTGGTGTTCGAGGATTATTTACAAATACCCTATCTTTGAGATAACCCCATAACCAAAAGTCTGGAACAGTTAAATCGGGAGACCTTGGCGGATATGCAGTATCGGCGTTTTTCGAGATAAGGCGTCCAGGAAAAATTCTGATAATCAACGAATTATTTTGATAAAAATTTTTACGATTTCGGCACGTTCTCGAGGCGTATATCGATTCAAAATGAATTTCCCAAGTATCTACTTTGCCACTGACAGAAAAACTCGAACAGATGTCAACTACAAACGAAACCATGACAACATGCCATAGGGTACTTGATTTTGCGCCACCTTATATTAATACTACTTACTATGTTAATATTATTAATAGTTTTTCGACGATAGGTTATAGCCACAAAACTATTTTTGTGTTAAAGTAGATCCATACAAATAAATGACAACTTTATAATTAAAATAAAAAACACAACAAACACAACCAAGGTAAGAAGATACATTTTTAAATTTTATTTGGTGAATAAATTTATAATTAGAAGTTTACTAATTATTATTTACAATTTGCTGGTTGAATATGTAATCCAAATAATAAAAATTTTCTACAGAAAAATCAGAATTATATTTTACCTCTCTTTTATATAATAAAAAAGTACTTTGTACATTACATTATATTATCTGTCTTGCTGTACCTTTATTTATGGAAAGCCAGAAATTAAGATACACTACAAATTATTTGCAATAAATATCAAAAAAAGTAGACATTTTTAAATAATTTGACATTTAAGAGCCATTCATACACCACAGTTGACATCTTGATACTTGACAGGCACATTCAAGCAATATTCTGATTTTTGCCAAATAAAATGGTCGGTTAATTATTCTATGGGGTTGCGACAGAGAGCCAGTAAATTTGATGAAGGTGTTTTTGTGGCTAGGGGCGAAATAGTAGTACGCTTAAGTTAGCACCACCATAAAAAAGTCATGTTTAAGAAATTGCTTATATATTTTTCATAAATTGGCAGGCTTGGCTACTAATTTCGAATAAAAATAGCCTCCAAAATGGCTATGGTTGCAAGTATGAAGGTCGCAACCCTCCTTAGAAATTTCACCTTTACTATCAACAGCTGTTGTTTGACAGGTCGTTAGAGAATGTTTGCAATTTATGGAATTTTAAGAATGTTAGGAATGTTGACGTTAGAAATAATTGGAATTCCTAAAATTTTCACACAAGAAAAACATATGCGGATTTTAAGATAATTGATATTAAAGTAGTTAGGATGAACCGAAAATTCTGAAAATCAATAGGGTTCTAAGTTAGAAGTAATTATTCAAG